TAATATGATAGTAATCATGCTCATCTTGGAATTTTCCGTTTGTTGATTAGTTACGAAGAGGAATTAATCAAAGAGCTTAGTATAAATCATATGAAACTCTCTTTCCATACTGTTCATTTCCCCGGGGGTGGGAAGTTAGTAGTTTGTATACATAATTACCCTCATAGGCTTTAAGGGTTTTGTATTATTATTACAAAATCTTCTATTCGAATTTTCTGATGAATCCTAATTCTTAATTTAATGGTTGTATAATCTCCTTTCGAGTTCCACAATTTTAAAATACCTGTGAAAATTCCACCTATTGCATCGCTCAATATCGGTCAATATTTGACCTCAACAACTTTAACAAAATATTGCAAACTATGAATGTAGGTCATTATTTAAAGAAGTAAGAGGATACAAATACAAAAAATTGAATCGAACAAGTTTTTCCATTTCACTGAAGCAGATGTTAAACACATCAGAGCGTTATCGTCTCTTCCATTGTTGCTTTATTTTTCTTTGTTTCTTTCTTTTTCTCGCTGAAAGCAAATTGACTGTCTGAAATTTATTTCCGTCTTTCCTCTTTTTATCAAAATGAAATCGTCCATTATTTATAATTCATTGGTCGAGCGTAACGGATGTCATTCTTAATAAAGGACGAAGAAAGAAGCAGAATTATATCATTATTATTATTATTATTATTATTATTATTATTAACTCGATGCGCTTGGCTTGTGCTAAAACTTTATCCAGTGTTAATGTTTGGGCCGACGTCGTTTGATTGTCCTAATACAGTGATCAATTAAATGTGAATTATTGATTTTTCTTTGACCTTACAGAGTTTGACATCGGTTGAAACGGCTTCATGTATCGACAGCTATTCAGAGTCAACAACAACATCATTGCGGGAGTCAGAACTGCCAATGAAACATGCAAGAGGGGATGCCAGAGGTCATCCAAAAAAGGTGGGAATAAATGATTATTTGCTAGATAATTCGAAAGATGACACGTTTTAAAATGCAGAGTAACCATCACGTTCTGGTGGCCATCATCAAAATTAGATTAATTCAAAATGTTCTTAGCGCTATCTTTTTTTTCCAATGAAATCTTAAAAGTGTGAAATCTTAAAAGTGTTTTTGAAGTATTCTCAAATCTTCATTGCAGACAAAAGAAGCTACCTTCCGAGTGGAATCTGTCTGTCGTTTAAAGTCTAGTGTAAAACGAATCTGTTTATCTTCATGTCTCTAATGTAAACCGAATCTATGTTTATTTTTTCTTTAATGTATAAGGAATCTATATTAATCTTTATGCCTCTAGTGTAAACCGAATCTGTATATGTCTTTTAAAGTCTAGTGTAAACTGAATCTATGTATTTTTTAACTCTAACGTCTAAAATAATATAGAAATGCATAAAAAGATATTAATAATGGAAATCTACAGAGAACGTTTTCTATAGAAAATACAATGATATTTACTATAGAAATATACTGGGACAAATGTTTATATAGAAATACGTTCAAAAATAATAATATAGAAACATCTAAGAAAAAAAATTTTTAGCAAAATTATATTGGAAAATATTTTGTAAAAATTCCGTACACCAATAAATCCGAAGCCTAATGATGAAAAACATATTTTTGGACAACAGATATTTATTTAATGTTTTTAATTCAGTGATAAATACTAATAAAATGAATCGAACATTATACAGTGAAAATTTCAGATCAAATTTCAGTTAAAAATTACGCATCGGTCTATGTAGAGGCATAAATCTATCGTTCTTCATACCTGATGGTACCGGCAATTTTCCGAATGGTACTTTACGTGATTGTACCATCCAAGTGAAATGAACGCCGAGCTAACGCTCATCAGTTCCGTCTGTCAATAGGCTTTATGCTATCATCTTATGTGCACTTATTACGCGAGGTTTTGTAATGTTATAATTAAAAGAAAAACTTGTAGTTCTAACGAATGGTTTATTTTATGGAAATATTTAATTATGCAACTACCAACGGAGACAAGCATCCTAACCGTGTAACGTTATATTGGGAACGGCTCTGCAATCTTTACGATGACTGACAAATTTCGAACAACTCGCCTACATCAAATTTTTCGTGAAGATCGACAAATATGCAGGATAGAACACACAGGTTTTTGAGTGGCACACACGTTTCAAGGCTGTAATAATAATGTAAAAAATCCTTGAAATCATTTATGAGAACCGTCCCCGTACAATCCATTTGCCAGGAAATCTTAGTTCGGAAAACTTTCTGATAACTATACCGTATACAGAGGTCACTGAAAACTTATGAGCGTGACCTGCTTCCCCAAATCTGATCAGGCGAAATCAGATATTTTTTTCGAAACCTTACACTTTCATGAACGTTTTTTCCAATTTATAATAATATATATATATATATATATATATATATATATATATATAAAAGAAATATAGTCTTAAGGTGTGCTATATTTATGGGATAAAGTGCTCGATATCAGAGACAGAGCGTGTGTAAATATAAAAGTGAACATAAAGTCAACACTTATATGCAACGTCTGGCCTCGATTGCATATAGCATGAAACAGACGATTGCCCTAAGTGTTGACTTTATGTTCACTTTATATATATATATATATATATATATATGTGTGTGTGTGTGTGTGTGTGTGTGTGTGTCGCTTACCATAGTCGCAGCCAAAATGGAAGTATCTTGGTTTCAATGGATGTTGCAGTGATAAAAGTTACCAGATTTCTTGTGCACGTGTGTTTGTGTTTTTGCGCGTGTGTATGTGACAGAAAATCCTGAAGCTTCAAGGGTGACACATGTGGCGTGAAAACACTTTATTATATAAGAAAACTAAACCTATGTTAAAACTGAAAACCTGTTTCGATTTAAAACTTATTAATTATGGAAAAGTGATTTCTATTTCAGCCGAGCAGAATTCTCCAACAGAAATGTGGACCGAATTTGACAAAATACGACCAAGAGAAGTTAAAGGCGTCTCCGTATTTATATTCAGTTCCCAGTACAGAAAAAAAGACTCTGAAATTGTTTGATATTCCGAGTGGTGTTCGAAAGATATACCTTGTAAGTAATTATTATTTTGGACATGTTTAGACTTGTCTGTCTCAGTGGACAAAGAATAACGACCGTTTGGCCAAGAAGTTTTTTCTTTCTTTTTTTTTCCTCAATAGATGAAAAGATTATTGGATTTAGAAATCTAATAATTACATTCAGCCATTCTTTTTTTTTTAAAGAAAAGGCTGAACATTGGGTAGTTTTATAGAACACAGTTATATACACACGCACTGCTATATAGATTCAAAGCATTTATTATTTATCATTTATTTATTTTTATTATATTTGTAACGCTTGCCTCAATTCCTAACCAATGACAATCCCTTTCTTCTTTATTTTCAATGTATATCATACAAACTGTATGCTAAAACTTGATCAAACAAATTATAAGTCAAAAATTGCCAAATTCGATACTAAATCATTACAATTATTCCAAGCTATCTTTGTTAGTACTAAGAATTAAATTTGAGACAAGAAGGATAGCTTATCGGTAATATCAGCGCCGGATTAACCAGTAAAGCAAAAAAGTGCATGTTTAGAACACAAAAGAGAAGAGTGTAAAGGAGGTTCTGTTCGGCTGAATATTTTATACCTTTTAGTGACCAGATTATCTTTACAATAAATGTTAACTTGTTAGTGTAAAACCGCGTAGAATTAGCGAAAAACATCCCTTATTATTCTGCTAACGATTTTTACAGTGGAAGATTGTTCTACTTCTTAGTATTTTTATTACAGAATGCGAAGGCCAGGACCCAAATTGTCAGCGATTGGCCAGATGGGCGTGATTTTCTGACAGTGGTGTGTTGCCTTTGTCTGGATTTCGGATATAAGTCCAAAACGGTGCGAATTCAATGGGGCCGCAAGAAATCTGAAGCATCGATACGCCTCCGACACCCAGGTTGAGCGACCGGCTAAGACCAGCCGCGGAAGGACGCTGAGTCAACGTGCGACCTGCGTTCCTGTGACGTCATTCCTCTCGCTGTCTCTTAGAATCTAAGCTGCCACCATTCTCTTCTAATAAAACGAATAAGAGAAAAAAAAATGGTCCATTTCGTTGGTACCATTTTATGTAGGTATTGGTGTTGAAGACCCAGAGACGACATAGAACGCAACATTTAACAGGACAAGTTTATCCAATAACAATCTTCACGATCCTGAATGTCTGAAATTCTTCTATTTTTTTTTTATCATTTCACCCCAAACAAGACGATAATGTCATTAAGACGCAAGAGATTACTGGGCAGGAAAGAGAATGGGAGGACTTTAGTGATGATAACGGACAATAAAAGACCAGAATTCAGGAAGATAGAAGATTGCGATTGACGTTGCATTTACATTTTTGAAGATTGTAGGAGGTAAGGAAATAAAAGAGTTCAAAATAGGCGAGGAGTGCGAGAAAAGAAACTATTAGAATAAAAGGTTAGATCTAGCTAATTCAACAATAATACAATGAGACCTAATAGCCAATCTAGTAGTACACTTAAATTCATGCGGTCGAGGAGGAGAACTCACCAGAACAACTACCATGAAAATTATTTATAGAAAAGACAGAAGAAAAATATTTGAGTGAATAAAATGTTACTAAGAATGAAATCTTAGTCATGCCATCTTTATTTCGAGTACAAATGCCGTGCCGAAAAGTTGATCACAGATTATATAAGACTAATTTGTTTTTTTATGGCTTATCAACCTTTTTTCAGGTTATTTAAAGCTAGAAAATATTTTTAGATTGTAAGAATTTTTTGAAGATAATAAGGATTTACTGACACACGTGCTACTAAGTAAGCCATATCTAGAGAGGGAGAAGAGGTAGATTCATACCTTACCCAAAGGTATTTGCGCGTAAGTGACTATAAAGAACCCAACCAGAATTGGAACTCGGCTCTTCGATTAACAATTCCGAGTCGTTATTCATTACACAACTCGCACATCCAAGCTTATAGCACCTGGTATTCGCAAGCGGTCATCTATCTATGTACTGACCAGGCTCGATGTTGCTTAACTTCGGTGATCGAAAGAAAACCAGTTTTTCGACGTGATATGACTGTAGCCCTATAAGACTGAGAAGCAACCGAAAAAAAAAATTATTAGCCAATCAGTAAACAGTTCACGTAAGCCTTCTTTGAAAACTACCGAGAAAGAAGAAATAATTCACAAAAATTTGAGATAGAGAGGCGGCAATAAAATAAATAAATGTATAAAATTCGCATACACTCACAGATATAAAAAACAAAAAAAACAAAACAAGGCTGACACACGTGAGGTGTTATTCCTATTGGATATGTAGTCATTTGCGGTTGAATACTCACGTGATAGGTTAAAATGAAAGCAAACGCCGAATTGTAAAATGTCCCTCTTTCGTCTCTGACTTTCGGCAAACAGGACATAAGTGGCAGTAAAGTAAGAAATGAATTTCGGCGATTCGTTTTCTACTTACTTTTGTCATACGGCAACACTCTTCCTACTTTAAAAGTCAAATGTAGTAAACTTGGTCTATTTAGTTATGCTTTGTGCACCTGATCCATTTACTTATGCAAATTGTTCGCATTTGTATTTCTGAGTTTCTTTTTGAGTCTATTTTTCTTGGACGTGCTTACGGCGTATTTTCGAAACTGTAATACATCTTAATATATTTTAACTAAAAATGACCCCCCACGAATATTTATAATTGTATAGGCTTGCTTTTCGGTTTGTTTTATTTTTTTTGCGAGCCAATATTAAGAAGATTGCAGTTACGTTTTGTAAAATATTTTCATAATGAATTCTGTTGTTTTTATTTTCTGTTCTAATGCAGCCACCAGAGTCCATGGCCAACAAACGCACCAACTGCCTAGTGACTATGCTGTACCTGGGTACAGGTACAAATATTTCCTGGGAAGAGTCGTCTCCGGGTACCGAAATTGTGATTCAACAGCAGCACTGTGGAGGAAACACTTTGTGTGTGTATCGCGGTCACCACAAAGCACATGGTATATGAGTTGGGTTTACTTAATTAAAACTGATTGATATTGAAACAGGACTGATAAACTTTATAAATCTCTCTCTATTTCTCTTCCACTACTCCCTTTCGCTCTCTTTCTAAATATATATATATATATATATATATATATATATATATATATATATATATATATGATAAAATTATAGTTTTAAGATATGCTATATTTATTGGTTAAAGTACTCAATATCAGGGAAAGAGCGTATATATATATATATATATATATATATATATATATATATATATATATATATTATATATTTGTGTGTGTCCTGGGAATGACGATAAACTATATCGGGCAGCAAGTCTTCTGATCAGGAGATTAAAGGATTTGAGGAGAGGGTAACCACCTTTTAATTGCTGTTGTTACCTGACCCGTGGTGGTAGCACCTGTTAGGGTCCCAGTTATGGGCAAATAGTGCCTACCAGGGCTGACCAGGCTCTTTAGTGTTATAGAACACGACTGGTCTAGATGGAAAACTCTTACACGAAAAGCCTGAGGTCTATTGTGAGCCTCGTCTGTGGCAATTATTTGCACCGACTGAGTGTATCAGCAGTTCCGAATTGTGTGGATGGTTCTGTACAAGCACTCATCACTTTAATCAAATCACTTGTGTCGGTTTACCCTCATTCGTTTGTTCTTATTAACTTAAGATTATCGCACAACATTCATAACTGAATCAATTGGTCAAGTTGTCAGATCCTCATACGATGAAACCGACGGGAGTGTCCATTATATATATATATATATATATATATATAATGGGTCATCTTTCAAAGTTTAATGAAGACAAATGTATTGCGCCATCATAGTCTATGTAGACGCATGTGATTTCTGAAGCCGAAGTCGTATGTCAAGATATGGTTATAAGTTAGTCAATAAACACCTGCTATTTGGGAAGGAGTGGACGTCTTTTCCGTGTCCAATCTTGGTTCACCTTGATGTGCTACATGCACAGTTAGCTTTGAAATGACGTGCTGCCTAGGAGCATAGATTACAACAAATGGACCGGTCAGTACTAGTGTGTTCTTGTTGATCACGGGACTGGAATTGCTGCTGTCTAAGTAAGGTGACAAACACTTATATATAAAAAACATATAAATATCTGTATTATTCAATTTGCGGCGAATGGATAGAGTGAGGGAGAATCAAAGAGGTTAGGATTGCGCACACAGGAATTGACGGAGACAAATCTTCGGTGAAACTTAAGCCAGCCTCTCTCTCTCTCAAGCCAAGAGTTGGACCGGTTTTATAACATTTGGACACCCACTCAACTTCATGTGGTTATGCATTCTTCCGGTATGTCGCCCACGCAACTTCATGTGGCCACGACTCTTCCGGCATGTGTCCACGCAAGCACGCATTTCCTTCCGCTCATGACACCAGTGCGCCCTGTTATTCAAGGCTCAGGACACTTGTGCACCCTGTTTATTTTAGCCACCGGATGCATTTCCTGTTTATGCCCCCAGTTCTCCGAATAATAATTGACTATTACACACACACACACACACACACACACACACACACACACACACACACACGCACACACACATATATATATATATATAAGATAACGATGTATACTTTTATATATCAAGAACAATATTGAGGAAAAACTTTCCACTTTGTCATACATCAAAAGAAAAACAAACAAATCCGGGGTCTAGGCGCCCAGAGAAAAAGATAAGAAGAAGAAGAAGTATTGAGGAATTTATCTCAACCTCATAGGATACAAAGTTCTTAAAAATCGTGAAACTTCCAGTAAGGTAATCTCCTTTAATAAAGCTGGAATCCAATCCAAAATCGTAAGAGAGAATAAAACTTCACTGTAACTTCAAGTTTCACGCCATGAAGCCATTCTCAGATGGTTTCTTTTTTCTTAACCTGAACGTATATATATATATATATATATATATATATATATATATATATATATGTGTGTGTGTGTGTGTGTGTGTGTGTATTTGTTTGTGTATTTGTTTGTGTGTGTATTTGTTTGTGTGTGCGTGTATGTGTGTACGGGGAGCTGAAAAGTATATATAGAATGCATTAAAATCATTCTGAAATTAATACATCATAATTTTGTCCACAATAACTAAAGGGGATACTGGTTGTATAGTAGTAGAGGCTGTAAATTCCCTCCAATAACCCGTCATTATTATTATTATTATTACTAGAGATGTGTAGCTGAGCGGAAGTCGGATAAAATGGTGTTTGTCATGAAAGTGCATAAATAGAAGAGATTCATCATTGACTGTTTCCACTACACCTATTGACACTTATCGATGCTTACTGAACTTTTTTTACAGAGACCAAACAGTGGATGTGAGCACAGTAAGGCGTTTTATAATGAGATTCAAGAGTAGCGACAGCGTAGTAACCTTAGCCCTTCACAACTGCCAACCAACGAAATGAACGGTTGACGACAAATATATAACCAATGGATGGTGACTATGTGGAAAATATGGTTTCGTAGCTCAAAACCTGCGCTCTTTCCAATGGTGCTTTTGTACTTAAGATGTACGCAATGCTACGGTCCTTTGAAAATTTGTTATATCTATACAGCTGTAGTGAGTTCGATCCTCAGTCGCTGCTCCACTATTTAGGTTTTTATACTGTACTAAATTTACTATAAGCAAGTTAATCTAACAGACCATTAATACTCGAGTGTATCCCAACAGTTTTTTTTTTTATTTATTAATGAAAATGTTCTTTTGAAACTAATCGGTGAGTTTTTTGGTGCTGAAAATCTCTCGGCTAAATCCACTTCTAAAAATCGAACCAAACAACATAATTTTTATTTAATATTTTACTCCTAACTGTGCCCATATGAACTGTTTGATATCCGTAAACATTGTAGTAATCTAATTTCTTCTATATAAAATAACCTAATATCTAAGTTGTTTTTTTTAGATCCGCCTCCGTAGGATAAACGGAGATCTTTGCGTGGTCGATTTAATCGATAGACCAAACATAGCAATATTTAAATAGTCGTAGAAATCGCGAAAGCTAGTTTTGCCAATGAGGAAAGTTAGTTCGAATGTCTCTTTGTCATTTTATTTATTGCTTCATTGTATGTCTTATAATGTCCGTTTGGAATTTTTGCAGAGAAATTCTCGTTCGTCTCCCACCGTCATTTGAATTTTCCGTTCAGTTTAAGCATTTACCTGGCCGGAATTCTCTACTTACGCGTGAGTGCGTGCTGTGAATATCGACACCACAAGGGTAGCCGACTGGGAGGGCCTCAAGGTCTCTTCTCCCTATTGAACGTGCAAGGAGCATCTCCGTGTGCTAGGTAAATAACTTGTCCCTCCAGTTACATACACCCACAAATAGATAGATAGATAGATAGATAGATAGATAGATAGATAGATAGATAGATAGATAGATAGATAGAAAAGAGTCGAATGTAGATAGATAGATAGATATAGATAGATAGATAGATAGATAGATAGATAGATAGATAGAAAAGAGTCGAATGTAGATATAGATAAATAGATAGATAGATAGATAGATAGATAGATAGATAGATAGATAGAAAATGAAAAGAGTAGATAGATAGATAGATAGATAGATAGATAGATAGATAGATAGATAGATAGATAGATAGAAAAGAGTCGAATGTAGATAGATAGATAGATAGATAGATAGATAGATAGATAGATAGAAAAGAGTCGAATGTAGATAGATAGATAGATAGATAGATAGATAGATAGATAGATAGAAAAGAGTCGAATGTAGATAGATAGATAGATAGATAGATAGATAGATAGATAGATAGATAGAAAAGAGTCGATGTGATAGATAGATAGATAGATAGATAGATAGATAGATAGATAGATAGATAGAAAAGAGTCAAATGTATATAGATAGATAGATAGATAGATAGATAGATAGATAGATAGATAGAAAAGAGTTGAATGGCATTTGAATTTTCCGTTCAGTTTAAGCATTTACCTGGCCAGAATCATCTACTTACGCGTGAGTGTGTACTGTGAATATCGACACCACAAGTGTAACTGCCTGGCATGGGCCAAGGTCTCTTCTCCCTGTTGAACGTGCAAGGAGCTTTTCCATGTGCTAGATAAATAATTTGTCCCTCCAGTTACATACAACCACACATAGATAAATAGATAGATAGTTTCAGAATATAACTTAAATTTTATTTTTTTCAATTCGTTTTCTTTTTGCTTGGTGGACATACTGCCCTTTTCGCCAATGCAAACTGCTCGCTTTATATATGTGTCCCTTAATCAAAGCCACATCATCATGTTATGTACAAGTTTGTCCACGTGATTCACGCCAGGTGCTTGATCACGTCACTAGTGACGTGTTACGTCTTCATTCGATCACTTCGTGTCACTGAATATGTGGGAAGTGTTCTTTGATGATGCTAACATTGTCACACTTGGTCCGAAACATGTGGTTCAATATATTTCAATAAACCCTTCAAATGACAACAGTTTCTTGTTATTTTGAACAAGTGCATACCAAACATTGAAATCACTATGGCTGTCAAAAATTGAATTCTAAGAGATTATCTACCGCCCGAATTTAAACTAGTTATGCGTGATACACGCTTAGGCGATCATGTCTCTTTCGATACATGACTGACGAGGCAAATTTTTTCCTGCAGTAGGTAGCCATTTCCTACTGTGGTAGTCCAGTTGCCATCCCAGGCTATAGAACCCGGTCTGTCCTGCTATTTACCCATAGCCGGGGGGCGTTGGAAAGAAGAGAATTCATACCTTTCCCAATGGTATTAGCACGTAAGTGAATGTAATGGATTTAACAGAAATTCGAACTCGGCTCTCCGATTCCCCAATCTGAGCCGCTATCCATTACTCCACCGTGCCTCCTTCGGGGACAATACAAACAGAAAAAAAAAAAACACTTGAAAATGTATATTGTTTGATTAGCGTCAAGTTAGTGACAGTATTGCTAAAAATAAATTCAGGATGTCTTCAACCGGCAATGTGTCACCCGAAGATGCACATCGTAAAGGACGACTGGTAAATATTGGTGATGACCAACTGAGGACTTGTATTGAATCTGCTTCAAATCTGTCAGATAATGGCTTTAAAGCGATGATTCTATACGTCTGAACTGGCATAGTGTAGTTAAAAGTCATACATTCCGAAAATAAAAGGGAATTCCACAAATCTGACCAAACATCAAATTTTTTAAGGGGTATAATAACTATAAACATTTTTCAATGGCTTATTGACCATAAACCTTTTTTAAGGTTTAATGACCGAGAAATATTTTGAAGGGCTTACTGTTCGAGATCCTTTTTTGAAGGGCTTAACGTGAATATTTTTGAAGGACATATTGTTCGAGAAAGTTTTTAAAGGCCGGCAACTTATTTTGAAGGGTTTACTGACTGAGAAATTTGCAACATTCCCTGTTACATGGAAGTCAATGAAATAAAACAGAAAATAGTAATCACTCTTCGAGCCCAGACAAAATCCATGGTCCTGAAGGCTGATTTTCCAGGCAATCTCGTCAGGGGAATCTTTTTGCACTCTCTTACTCGCGACCTTTAACCTTGATTCGCACTAATCGATTCTAAATTGAGTCACGTCAAAAGAAAAGGATACTTCCGAGAAATATTTCAAAATTTTCCAGTTTTGCTTTTAACAGTTTCTTTTTCCTCTTCTTGTCTGCCATTCAAGATGTCAGCTGAATCGTCAGATGAACGAGGAGAATAGGAAAAAGAAAATGAAAAACGATAGCAAAGCATCCGAAGACGATCAGACGAAAGCAGAATCAACGGCGTCGCCCCTGACTGAAATTAATGACACCAAGGAACTGAGCGAAAGCGAAGACGACGAAGAGGAAGTAGAAAACCAGAAAGACTTAACTAAACCAGGTGAGTCAGAGTATCGTTAAATTTGTCAGATTTGCTCTCTCTCTCTCTCTCTCTCTCTCTCTCTCTCTCTCTCTCTCTCAAAGCCGGTCTCAGTTGCCACTTTTTATTTACATTCGGACTATTATCCTCAGCTTTGTTGATGTTATCACAACGTTTCGGCTTTCCTTCAGTTTCTGTCGATTCGGGCAATTTTCAGAGTATTTCGAACAGAACCTTTTGTTTACAGGGAAAATTTGGTGCTACTATAGCGTGGGGTCTACCTCAATATGTCGTTCCCCTCCTGTCACGTGATCATCAGGTCAGGTCAGGTCTAACATATTTATTTATATCTGTGAAACGGGAGGTAGACCTAACGCTATAGTAGCAACGAAAATTTTATCTATACATGTCAAGGCATATTTCGTATTGTTTATTTTTGCATTGCTCAGCTATTGTTCACTTAGTTTCCACTGAGTTTGACTATATAGTACCTGACCCAGGGAATGAAATCACTATGCCACCAAATTCCCAAACCAAAGCTATAATCCATTAGGCTATTGTCCTGTGGGGCAATGTTGAATCTAGAACAATACAGATAGTTGACATATGACGAGCAATAACTGAGCAGCACTGTGGAACAATCCTGTGCCTAGAACAGCACATACTTAGACTCAGTAGAAATAGATTGAGCAATAACTGAGCATTACTCTGAGACAATACTGAGCCTAGAACATCACAGACTTAGACTCAGTAGAAATAGATTGAGCAATAACTGAGCATTACTCTGAGACAATACTGAGCCTAGAACATCACAGACTTAGACTCAGTAGAAATAGATTGAGCAATAACTGAGCATTACTCTGAGACAATAAGCCTAGAACATCACACATTAGACTCTGAGAAATAGATTGAGCAATAACTGAGCATTACTCTGAGACAATACTGAGCCTAGAACATCACAGACTTAGACTCAGTAGAAATAGATTGAGCAATAACTGAGCATTACTCTGAGACAATACTGAGCCTAGAACATCACAGACTTAGACTCAGTAGAAATAGATTGAGCAATAACTGAGCATTACTCTGAGACAATACTGAGCCTAGAACATCACAGACTTAGACTCAGTAGAAATAGATTGAGCAATAACTGAGCAGTGCTCTGAGACAATGCTGAGCCTAGAACATCACAGACTTAGACTCAGTAAAAATAGATCGAGTAATAACTGAGCAGTACTGTGGGACAATCCTGTGTCTAGAACACCACAAACTTAGTCTCAGTGGATCAATAGCCGAGCTGTACGAAGTTAAAACAAGGCGAGGTATAAATAGCGAAACGATAACCATATAAACTTGTATATTAAATAATGGGTTCATTTGGAAATTCGATGATTGACATACACCTGAATGAGTACGGAGCGCACTGTTGTGATAATGACAAAAAAAAAAAAATAAGGACAATAGTTCGAATCTAAATAATGTAAATAATAGTAACTCCTCGTCACAGAAATTCAGACATAAATGCCACTTATTATTATTATTTATTTTTACTTTTACTTACTCATATGTAATGAAAGCCTCACAAGTCAACTGAACTATAGATGATTAAAAATACCACTGAAATGAATATAAATATTTACTATTGCAAATTAACTGATTAGAGAAATGCATTGTAAGTCTTAGGGTTGTATTGATTAATCTGCTTTTGCTAAAGTTCAAATATCGTAAAGAATGTACAGATATGCTATTCACAGAACAAGAGGAGGCCCGACACGAACCTATATCGTTCAATGTCAGTGGTACATTGATCAATGTGGAAGAGAGTAGCAGTGAAGAAGACGACGGTAAGTTACAGTCTTGACTTTCTCGTTATTGATTTTGTGTTTTTTTCATTATTATTCTTTATCATTGTGCGTTGAGCTAATCTATTTTGTTTGTTCATCTAAAATTGCCCCCCTTTTTTCGAAGGTTCCAAAAATTTAGAACGCTTCAATAAAGTTATTCTGAAATGTTGAGAGCATTGTCCCTGCTGAAACATATTTTATCCTTAAAAAAAGAAAAAAAATACTTCCAATAAGCAAATATTTTATTTTACACTATTGTACACCCAATTCAAAGCCCAAGCGCCACTCAAGGTAAAGGGTTACTGAATTAGGCTGTTGTATGAACGTAAGAGAAGGCGGTAAGAAGTGCCTATTATGAGGATATGTAGGACAGATAACGGTTGGCCTTAGATTTGAAGATGTTAATATCGTGGTGATCGGGGAAATTCTGGGTAAGCAGCTGTCTGACTGACTGTAACTTTCTTTTTACCGATGGAACAAATTATAAGGTAGTCTTCATTTGTTTATTTGCAAATAATTATAATATAAATTCTATAAATAGGAAGTAAGTGATCGTCCTCGGTATGACGATAAACTACATCTGGCAGCAAGGTCACTGATCCTGAGATTGGAGGTTTTGAAGAGCGTTGAAACCACCTCTTAAGTGTTGTTCCCAGGTCTACTCTAACCCGGGGTGGTAGCACCTGTTAGGGTCCCACCTTTGGGCAAATAGTTAACCCCAAACTGAGGTCAAAACACTATGAAAGTGCAAAAATAGGTTTCAATACCAGCAATACATTTTTGAAGAAAAAAATATTACCAACAATACATTTTTCGAAAAAATATTACTAACAATAAAAATCTTATCGGCATTAAATAATCTGTTGAAGTTGATATGCCGTAAAACAAAACAAACCAAACCAAACCGAAAATGTGGGATTTGACCTATAGCCTGGGGTAGAGGAGAAAGATTCATGATTTTCCCAGGTTCAGAATTGAATGCAACAACCTCAGCTTGAATTCGAACTCGGCCTGCCGATTTTATTTTCCGTGCCATCACATATCCTGTAAATCAGCTTAATAGATATATTTACGGCATTAGATTCGCAAGAGTATTTTACTTGTGTCACCAGTTAGAATCCCGAATGCACTTTGGAAGAACGGAAGAGGCCTTCCAAAAACTAAACAAAGTATTAAGAAACAGGAAAAGTGTGCTGTACTATGATGTAATATCAATCACTCTATACGGCAGCTTATGTTGGGTAATTTCTGCACAGATGCAGAGGAGACTTGAGGCTAGAGAGATGTGAGTCTACAGAAAGATGCAGAGAAGGACATGGACGGAACATGTAAGCAATAAGGAAGTTGTAAGAAAATGGGAACAAAAAGAACACTTTTCTTTAGAATCAGAACGAGACGGATGAAATTTCTGGGGACACGTAATGAGGAAAGAGGGCTTAGGGAACTTGACTTACACAAAGCATATTGCATGCAAGAGAGAGAGAGAAACAGAGGCAAACATCGAGTAACCTACATAAGTGGTTTGTGTAAATGGATATCGGAAAGCGGACTGGGAGAGATAGTAAGGTAGCGTTACGAAGGATAGGATATTGTGGAGAGCCATGATCGCCCACATTCTTCAAGGACATGGCTATTCTATATCTCTTTTCAGATGATCCTATGCCTATGTAATACGATCACCACCCACTCAAATAGGATTTTACAAGCCCTCACAGGAAGAACTGTTTTGTACTGGCTAAATTGTTAAATTTCAGATTAAATATATCTTAGAACGGTGTGTATAATTGGATAAAAGCCAACTATAGAAAAAAACGGTTCTCTATGAAAAAATCTTCTGTCAAATGGAACTTAAGGGGAAAATATAATGTCAAAGTGAGGAGACTTTTCTTTCACAATCTATGTTTGAATAAAATAATCTTTTTGAGGGTTTAAGGCTTTATGTCAGGTCACGTTGCGAATGCTACTGGCATCTTTTAATCCAGTCCTATTTGCCGCATGGTCGGGTTATCAGTGTATCTGTTGAGGAAGATGGTTAGACAGCCAGCAGGATTTCAAAGGACGATGACCTTTCTAGCAAAAATTGGGTAGACGGGGCCTCACAGCTATCCATACAGCCAATGCAGCGATGGAATAACATCACTGAACGAGGGTTCCCTAGACTGAACTCAATGGCCGGGGTGAATGGAATCAACGGAGGACATCGGCTATGCTTTTTATTTGAAGCGAGATGGGGTTGCCCAAGACACAATACGTATAAATACCTCTCCGGCTTTCAACCCAATTATGTGGTCTGAAATGGTTACGTTCTCAGCTACGCGGCAACCCTACGACCACGTCAGGGACTGATGATGATGGGGGGGTGTATTTAAGGCTGAAAAATGTCAAAACTGAAATGAAGTAAGAAAGAGCGATAAAAATTCTCATTCAGTTCCGATTTAAAATATTTCATTTCCACCTCATTTCACCTGTAAAATATTCCACAAAAAAGTAGACAATACAAAAAGACGGTTGAAATAAACAAAATAAATAGGCCATATGCTTAAACTCGCAAGTTGGTTTGGTTTGGTTTGGTTTGGTTTTACGGCATATCAACCACAATGGGTTATTTAACGCCTACAAAATTTTTATTACCGGTAATATTTTTTTTCTTCAAAAATCTATTTCTGGTAATATTTTTGTCAAAAATGTATAACCCGCAGTTGAGGGTTAACTATTTGCCCATAGCTGGGACCCTAAACAGGTGCTACCACCCCAGGTCAGAGTGGAACTAGGAACACCAGCAATTAAGAGGTGGTTTCACGCTCCTCTTGCTGTTGGATGTAGTTTATCGTCTTACTCAGGACGCTCGGAAGTTGTAAAAATTTATGACCTTTGTTTAAAATTTCATTATAAGCGTACTTATATTTTCTCCGAATTAGTTGGTCTTCTATCAAATAACTGGAAGCGGGTTTTTGATTTGTGAGCCAGAGTTAACAAGCGTTCAGAGAGAGGGAATGGTATTCGCAGTGAACGAAAAGGGGAGCAAGATTTTTCGTTCGTGTTGGAAGGAAGATAACAGACGCCGTCTCCGTTTCATAGAACGGGTCGTTAAGAAAGAGAAAATGGCCTTATTGATAGACGTCATATTCACTACCTAAGTCGTAATCCGTAAATGAAATTCTGTCGTCGGCGGAATAAACTATGTAGAAATTTTCGATTACTTGTTTGAAGCAATGTGATGACAACAACAAAGCAATCATGATGAGTGAGTATTTAGTGTCACATCTTCCCTATTTGATGAATAAGAAGTCCCCGAAAAAAAAAAACAAAAGACAGAGAATTAGGTCGACCTAGGTGTGTCTATAGAGAAGAAACGGACGAAGCCAGTGTTCGAATGACAGGGTAAGATTTTCACACATCCAAACTTTGGTTCTTTCGACCCTTAAAATAAGTCTTCGTGTTTCGATTCCCGTCCGCGTCGACAAAAATGGGAAAGGCCCGTTGTACGTTCAACAAAAGAACGCAAGGTGAAATATCCCCACGGCAAGGAAAGGAAACATGAATCATGTCGGTAGCTAAGTCACACTTGGGAGACTGCTACTTTTGACTCCTCTCACGACAGACTAAAGGACCAGATTTTTCCTTCGACTAACGATTCTTTTTGCCTCCGACTCTACATCTCACTCCGTTCTCTCTCCCATCAAACTGACTACTTGTGACTCTATGGTTTGGACGGGCCGTCACTCCCACGAACTCTGACTGCCACTACCACTACGACACTGATTATCACATTCACTGTCGACAGACGCCTCTTGACTGGTCACTCTATTAATTCTATCACTCGCCCTTACCTAGAAGTTATCGAAAATCAGAAACTGCGTTGTTTTGAGATGTTCATATTGCTGCTTACTCGTAAGAGTAAAACACATTTATTAAATTACACATATTTTATATAATAAGCGCTGTATTGTGATAAAAAATGAATCCTATACAATAATTGTAAATGTAAAGGTTGATTAAAATGTATTTATTTTATAAACATTTTATTTTACCTTGTTAACATTCGACATTTCTACTGACATATATATATATATATATATATATATATAAGCAGTGTCGATGGAGTTCAACACCGAATAGCGACAGTCATAAAACACACTGTCGCCATTCGGCGTTGATCTCTATCTTCGTGCAGCTTATATTTACCTATAAATATAACATGCCTTAAACTATATATATATATATATATATATATATATATATATATATATATATATATATATATATATATATATATATATTCTGTTATGTTACCTCTGCTTCTTTCTCTTTCAGAGTATCAAGATGATTTTGAAGATGACGAAGAAGCAAAAGGATTGAGAGGAGGCAAAACGAACGATAAAGAAGACGAAGAAGTTAGTCAAACGAAAAACACAGATGGCGTCAGTGGAGAAACAAATTCATCTGGAAGTGAAGAAAGTTCTTACTCAAGAGAAGGTGATTTTTTTTAACCATTTTTGTCGGAAATTTCGAAATGACTGTTTACAACCGAAAAAGTTTTTCTATCATCATCATCATCATCATCATCATCATCATCATCATCATCATCTCAACAGTTTTCGTTTACCCCACAATAAAATTTCATTGGTTGCTTTATTCTTCGGCCTTTTACAGTTGAAAATTTTACCCGGTGTCACACAACTACTGATAACTAAAAAGTCTTGACATCGAATAAAAATTCCACTTAATGAAGAAGGCTGGAGAAGGAGTCTATCGAGAATTGAATGAAAAATGTTGTATGGTTACTCGAAATTCAAAAATTTTAAAACTTGTTTTAAATTTTTTGAATTTTGAGTCAGCATACAAAATTTCGCTTTTGTTCATCATCACTTGCCTTGATAAAGTCGGATGTCGAAACGCGTCGACAAAAAACTAAATACTGTTTTCCTATTTTATTCAATTTGTCTTTTCTACAGATATATTCTGAGAACCTTCACGCACACAGACACACAGACACACACACACACACACATACATACATATATATATATATATATTGCTTTATACTCGGTGAAAATTTAGACAAGTTTTTAAAAAATGAACGTTCGGAAATCGGCGCCAATGGCCAATGTTCGAACCCAGATAACAGTTTAGAATACTGATCTTTTTTAAGTCAATCAATTCCACTCCATTCAGAACAATAGCATTCCATGTCCCTCCCTCTGGTCTTGTGCCATACTAGTAAGTGTACTTCTGATTTTCATAAGTCGTGGAAACTTTGAGTATCTCTTTAAGTTAAATTTATTAGAAACTCCTTATTTATCTTAAAAAAAAAACGAATACAATGAAATATGATGTCTCCCAGAAATGCCTGGTGGATGAGGCAGTTGCGTTTTTGTCATAGGTGATGTCGTTGCTCGAATATAGGTAAAATCCAAACAAGTCAGTCAGCCTCCTTACTTAAAATATTGGCACAACACAATCTTCCAAGATTTGGATTTGTTTATTGAGCTAAGTTCATTATCTATGACTGTATAATCTTGGAATTTGGACATCATTAGAATCTGTTTAAAGTTTAAAATAAATAAATAAAATATGTATAAAAGTATTTACGTTCCTGGCGATTTTCAAAATCGTGGATCTCCATTTTGAGGATTATTATTTTTTTTTTTTTTTACTTAAATTATCCTAGGACTCGCTGGATAAAAATGTCTTCTGGTGGCCAAATAGAATTTTACCTTAAAAATAATTTTTCACTTTGAAAGTCTTTTCCATTTTTTGCTCTAGTCACGTGACTTAAATTTGACGGAAGTCTCTGGCAGCAGAAACGTATCAATTCAGAAGTAACAAATAAGATCACGTTCACAGGTGATCACCAGGTGGCGTTTCAGACATTCATGTATATCAAAATGTTTTAAGATATTTTTTATTTCGAAAGTTATTTTTTTTTTAAATATTTTGATAAATATATTTTGAAGACGAGAAAGAAGAAGAAGAAGAAGAAGAAGAAGAAGAAGAAGAAGAAGAAGAAGAAGAAAAGAAGAAGAAGAAACAAACGTTGGAAAAGAAGAGAAAGTGGAAGAAATCGTTAAAATAAAAGATGAAGGCGACGTCAGTGAGGAAATACGTTCGACTACATCGGAAGAAAAAAGTCCGCCCGAAGAAGGTAATAATTTTTAAGATATTCCTGATCTTCCACAATTGAACATTTAAATAATGCTATCTATTTTCGTGAGAGTAGTGATTCTTAACTGTCGTGCCGTGGTACATTAGTGTGCCGCGCGATCCTAAGTATACCGAGTAATATTGTCACTCATTGATACATTTTGAATTCCAATAGAAAGGAATATCCCATATTAGCTAAAAAGGCTTTATCAGTTTTATTTATTGTAATTTTTACTTCTTATTTATGTGAATTAGACTTCTTAAACCTAAATAGATATCAAAAATAAGAAGCGAGAAAGACTACCCTCAACGTAAGAAGAAATGAGAGTTTGCATATCACATATTCAACCAAACATGGAATAAATCTGGATAGCGACTCGGATTGAGGAATCAGAGAGCCGAGTTCGAATTTCAGTCGAAATCCATTACGTGCTAATAAAACCCTTGGGAAAGGTATGAATCCTCTTCTTCTCCCCAGCTATGGATAACTAGCAGGACAGACCGGGTTCTATAGCCTTGGATGGCAACTGGTCTACAACAGAAAGAAATGGCAACCGGGGAAAATCTGCCTCGTCAGTCATGTGTCGAAAGATACATGATCGCCTAAGCGTGTATTACGCATGGCACATAACTGACTGATTTATGTACATTAGGCTTCTCAACCGTAAATAACATCAAAAATAAGAAGCGAGAAAGACTACGCCCAACGCAAGAAGCAATGGGGGTCTGCTTATCACACATTCGACCAAACATTGGATAAATCACGAAATACACTAGGCACAGGTTTCACTTCACACTAAATAAGCTGCACAAATAGTTGAGTAGAAACATTGGAAAAAAGTAAGTTCATATTTGGGTGTGTATTTGTTAAAATCTATGGTTTTATTTCATAACATTTAAATATATACCCTTCAACAATTTTGCAATGTGTGACGTAATATTTTCATTTGCTCCAAAGTGTGTCGTTGCTTAAAGATGTTGATAAACACTGCGTTAGAGTTGCCATTAGATGCATATTTTTTTGTGTTTTCTCTTACATCCAGTGCAAAATATATATGTGTGTCTATGCGTATATGTTTGTATGCGTGTACCTCTGATGGTCGCTCCTTGTCGTAGTGGAGGGGCTTGCGTAGTCAAACAATTTAGAGAACGATGCCGTCCGGATTTCTATACTCCTAGTAGGGCCACCCTTGGCTTCAAAGTCGAAAACGAGAACCCAGACTAAGCATGACCAAGCCCAAAGACCCCATCGTTGGAACGAGTGGATGATGATTACAACAGATCTCAGCGGTAGAACCAGCATATGAAGAAAGCTACGCATGATGGACATGCTACAGAAGGCGCCAGTCGAAATTATAACAGAGTGAGCAGCAGTCCGTTGCAGTTTCATAACTGGATTCTGCATGTCTCATCCCATAATGTGCCACAGAGTGGGGGGGTCATGAAATCAAGTGTATGGGTCAATTGTGGTCCATCTTAAACAAATTCACGCCATCGACACTTTCTTCGGCCAACTCTTGCAAAGCCAAACGGCGATAGGGAATAGTTGGTTCTGGTGGAACTGGAAGTTTTTAGTCCTGAACCTGTACGTTGGCGATGAATATAGTCATCAACATCATCATCATAAAGAAACCATTCAGCAACCAATGAGCAAAGAAGAAATTAAATTATTGGATACGAAATAAAGCCGCAGCCGATGATTATTAGAAATTGCTATGCATTTAAGATGACTTTTGTTTTGTTTTTCTACTCTCATATGCTAGTTCTCTTCAGAAAGTGGGTGATCACAGCTCTCCACATCATCCTCTTCTTCGTAGCTCTAACTAGTGCTTATCTCCTTACTATCTCTCCCAGTCCCTGTTCTGTCATCCATTCATTTAAGATTATTATCTATGTTCCGACCTGTTTCTCGTTGTCCCTCTTCAATATGTCCTGTGAATGTCAATTTCTCCAAACCCACTATTCCTCATTATGTCACAGAAATTTCAACGTTCTTTTTCTGGTTCAAATTATAATTGTCCTTTTTGTTTCCATTTACCTTATAACTTCCTCGTTGGTCCCATGTTCCGTCCGTGGTATTCTCAGTATCCTTCTGTAGAACTGCATATCTGTTGCCTCAAGTCCCCTCTTCATCTGTGTGGAAATTTTCCAGCATTCATTGCAGGATATATGTTACACAGAAGTTTAACACTCTTCTTTGTAAAGAAATTTTCCTGTTTCGTAATACTTTGTTTAGTTTTTGGAAAGCATCTTTCACTATTCCGATATGCCTTCGACTGTGTCGTATTATCTGCTGTCTTCTAAAAAACTTCTCAATTATTGCAAACATATCTTGTCAGCAGATGCTAAGTCCGCATTTCCATCCCTAACAAGAGGTCAAAATCGTTTCTTTGGCTTTGTCTGGGTGGGTTACATCCTCCCCTCTGCTGGCTTTTCCGCCACAAATGCAATGTCGCAAGCCTGTCACTACTCTATCGCTATTTCCTTGGCAAATGTTCAGAGGAACGCCATTCTTTAGTTCAACCAGTTCAAACCTTTAGAAATAGGACACGGCATACTACTCTCACAGAGTTGAAACACCCTCATTTTCTCCGTATTCAAAATGTTTAAAGAAACTTCTATCTAGACAGCTTTTTTCCAAGAACCGCTACTTTGTGGAACAGACTCCCACGTGGATGCTTCTCTGAACGTGACAAGCTTAACCTTTCCAATCAAAGGTCAGTCGTTATCAATCCTCATTATCTTCATAATCTCTACATATTACCATCTCCCCTTTCAGAGGAGTAGGTAGGCTTACCTGCCGTTCGGTTTACACTCCTCTCGAGACTTTTGAACAAGTGTAGAGGTTTATCCCTTGTTTGCTGTTCAGGATTGGACTTCCGGTTCCTTCTAAAGTCTACCTCCATACTTCTAACGTCTCCGCCTGAACATTTATTTACTATTTATTTAGATGTTTTTCTTCAATAAGAATAGATAGGCTTCCTCATTATCTTCATAATCTTTACATATTACCATCTCCCCTTTGAGAAGAGTAGATAGGTTTGCCTGCCGTCCGGTTCACACTCCTCTCGAGTCTTTTGAACAAGAGTAGAGGTTTATCCCTTGTTTCCTGTTTATGATTGGACTTCCGGTTCCTTCTAAAGTCTACCTCCATATTTTTAATCTCTCCGCCTAAAACTTGTGAACATTTATTTACTATTTATTTAGATGTTTTTCTTCAACAAGAATAGATAGGTTTCCCCTCACCCGGTTCACTGACCTTCCCGGTCTTTTAAACAGGGCTAAATGTTTATCCCTTGTTTCCTGTTTTGGATTGGGTTTCCGACGCCCTCGAAGTCATTTCCTTCTCTTTCATTTCCTGTGACTCCTTGCGTCTTGATGGCATTATCACCTTGCTTGGGGTGGTGGTGCTTACTCTGTAATCCTCTGCATCAAGTGGCTCTTGAGTCTTGTACAAGATGAATATCATTGTAAAAAAAAACTTAAATAAAAATATCACATCTTATTCATCATAACTATTTTAACAATAAAACACGAGCCTTGTATTGAGTACATTTTAGTATTAAAAAGTTGTATTAGGATAAGCTTAACATTGTAAATCTATTTGAGCTCCTACCGTAGAGCGGTAGTCAGCAATATAATCTGGTAGATCTTTGCTCGTGTGTTCAGTTTGGCTCTTATTGGGTATGTTTATTAAACTCTGCAAGTAATTACATTAGGCGCCTGCTCTGGAGCTATAACTAGCAGCCGAATATCGTAATGTATTTTGAGTGAAGTCCGTCCTAACTCACTCGAGTTTAGAGCGATTGGTTAGAAGAACCAATCTGATGGACCAATGCTATTCTGCAAAGCTTTATCCCTACTGTCCCACACTTATTGATCTTTACTTTGATCATTTAACCTTCTTTTTCTTTGTGCTGTCTTCGAATAAGGCTCTCCACAACCTCCTATCGCTGCCAATCCCAGTTCCGCCATCCCTTTACATTCCGCCATCCCGCGTCAGGTAGATGGCCCGCTGCTCCCGCTTTCTCTTTTATATTCGATATATCCTGTGAGTATTAAATTTTTCGAGAAACATGGAAATAGTAATGATAATAGTAAGTGTTTCCTTATAAGGAAACATTGACTGAGCAGCCAGTGCTACTTTTGTTTTAAATTTATAAAATCATTCTATTAAAATTTTTTTTTCTTTTTTAAAAGTCCCGTAACTGTTATCGCTCTTTCCGGTATTGATAGAGGTTTCCTTCCTAGCCTTTTGCTTGAAGTAATGTGGGGCGTCGATATCTTGATTATGCCATTATTTTTTCATCGATTTTAGTTGTTGATGTTGTTGATGTTGTTGACAGTCCTCAACTAATGTAGTTTCTGTTATTTGGTACAGCTAATGATTATGTAACGCCAGTCCACAGGATTTGAAGAAGCTATTTTAACCATTTATCTGCGAAAATGGTTGTATACAGCTGACAGTTTAGATATTTCTGAATGAGTTTGGCGCCATGCATGACATCCAGATGACAGTCTGGATTTGCCGAGGCTATTAAAGAAAATAACTCGAGTATTTCGGTTAACATTTTGGTTTTGTAGCGATTTGCGGTGTTGGACAAAACTACCTTTAATGCCGTCTATTCTATGTTCAGTTTCTTTATCTCCTATACTAAATTTCTTTTAACTTCTCCATACATTGAGGTATTTAAAAGGTTTAATAGTTAGTAATTTCAAATCCTAAATTCTTATGTTGCATTCAGGCTATAGGCGCCATCACCGTTTTCCAATTCCAGATCATAGTTTTGGAAAGGTTTATATTAAGTCTACTTTCTTTAATCAATTGATACAAAATGTTATTTTTTTTGTTCAAGATCATTTTTATCCCAACCATGAATACCCATGTAATCGGTGTAGCCCGAACTATATGTACTGGAATGATGTCTCATCTTGAAAAATGTTTAGTTTACGCACATTGTTAATATTTTATGTCTTTCCAGGCTCTTCCTGACGCCTTTC